CTTATTATTATTATTACTATTATTATTATTATTATTATTATTTTCTAGATCATCGTGAGAATACGGCTCCTTCTTCGACAAGCATCTGCAATGATACTTTTAAATAAACAAATGATTCTCTTTTTCATAGTGTAAGTAATCGGTTTAAAATGGTGTACGCTGTCTTAAAAGCAATTCCCGTAAGTAAAGATGAGCGACTGTGTAGAGAGCAGATGAACCTGTCTATAACCTCTGGTTGCAAAATAATGAAGTGTAGAGAGACATGACAAGAAGGCGATGCCATTCTGCCGCAGATGGGTCCCTCCCAAGACTGGAGTTCTGACATTTCTATCGTAGCTTGCGTTGAAAGAGTTGCAGCGGACTTAGACATGAAGAAGGGTAAGCCTTCAATATCCAGGCGATGTTTGGGAGATTTTGTGAGATAATAAAGAAGAATAAAAGAAAAAAGAAAACGAAAAAGTAAAATGGATCAAAGAAAAAAAAAAAAAAAAAAAGGAAGATGGTATTTTGGAATAAAGGAAGAAAATCGAGTTGAAAGAAAGCTGATGGAAATGAAGGAAATAAACGATAAAGAACGAAAAAACAACAGAAGCTGAAGAAGGAAACAAAGAAAGAATGGAAAAAAGAAGGGAAAAAGTAAGTAATGAAACGAAGAAGACAAATGAATGAAATGAAATTCTCATCATCTGGGAAAGTAAAGAATAAAAAGCTTTCTTCTTGATTCCATATCCCATCAGGACGTGTGCGATCATGGCTCTACACAATCTCTTATTTCTTGTAGTCCTTAGCGACATTTGTCCCTTTGCTAAGACTCCTGGTGAGTCACAGCCTCGTCTTGTATCTTAGATATGTCTTCTGAGTTTCAAATTCTCCAACTCTTTCATTTCTCCAGTTTTACTCATACAGTAATATTAGGTTGGTGCAAAAATAATGACGTAATAATGTCGATTTTTGACATTACGTCAAAAACGACATAATTACGTCATTATTTTTTGCACCAACCTAATATTACTCGACATTGTTTCATTGTAATCATTTTTATGGGGCTTATGAGTAACAATACATTGAAAGAAAAATTATTTGGAAGAAAACGAGTCAGGAATAAGTGAAGAGTTTTTATATAATAAAGAGGACACTTCGTTATATAACCGGATCAACAACAAATAAAAAAAAAGGCGTCATTTCATGTGTGATAACCTAATACCTTTTTTTAATTTAAATGCCATGATACACGTTTAGGCGACCAAGTATCTTTCAACGCATGATTAACTAGGCAGATTTTTTCCCGTAGTAGATTGCCATTTCTTTCTACGATAGATCATTTGCCGCCCAAGGCTATAGAAGTCAGTCTGTCCTGCTATTTATCCATTGCTAGAAGGAAAAGAAGACGATTCATACCTTTCCCAAGGGTATTAGCACGTAAGATAGATAGGAACATACTGAAATATATATCAGTCAGTTATGGGCCATACGTGATACACGCTTAGACAATTATGTATCTTTCGATACATGACGAACGAGGTAGATCTTTCCCCGCAGTAGGTTGCAATTTCTTTCTGCGATAGACCAGTTGCCATCTGAGAACCCAGTCTGTCCTGCTATTTACCCATAGATGGGCGAGAAGAATAGGATTCATACCTTTCCCAAGGGTATTAGAACGTATGTGAATATCAGTTATTTATGTGCCATAAATATATGACTGATATATATATATATATATATATATATATATATATATATATAAAAGATACATAATCGCCTAACCGTGTATATATATATATATATATATATATATATATCAGTCAGTTATATACCATGCGTGATACACGGTTGGCGATTATGTATCTTTCGATACGTGACTGACCAGGTAGATTTTTTTTCCTACAGTAGTTTACTATTTCCTTCTGCGGTAGACCAGTTGCTATTAAAGGCTATAGAACGCACTCTGTTCTGCTATTTACCCAAAGCTGGGGTGGGGAGAAGAATAGGATTCATACTTTTCCTAATGCTATTAGCACGTAAGTGAATGTAATAGATTCGACTGGAATTCGAACTCAGCTCTCCGATTCCTCAATCGGAATCGCTAATGTAATGAAAGTAAGAGGATTTGTATTGCATAACTGTTCAGCTCGATTTTCTTTCTCCAATGGAATTTTCTTGTTTTCTAATACTTTGCTTAGAATAGTGCTACCCCAATATGTCAATTCCGTGTCGCAGTTTGTGTCGTCTGTTAAAACACTTCGCAGATATTTAAACTTATTTAATTGTTTGATGTTGATATTCGTAGTTTGCATTTTAGGCTTTTTTTTCTCTTGCTGTCAACCATTCTGTCTTCGTACAGCTGATGCTTAGTCTTTTCTTCCAGCTTTCCTTTCTAAATGCTCGTATAGATATCCTGCTGCATCTGCCTTCAAAACAGTGTCATCTGCGTATATTATACTGTTAAGACTTCAATTCAGCATTCTTTTCTTTCACTTCGTTCCTAACGCAATTTTCCTGTTTCTTAGTACTTTGCTGAATTTTTGGAGAACATCTTTTGCTATTGCGATGCGTGTTTGCAAGGCTTACATGGTCCGAAAGTGTTTATCTGTCCCACTGTCTTCATATAATGACACCCGTTAAAAGGAGAAATCTCTTTGAGAATTTAATCATTCTATCGATTAAACTAAATTCCGCTTTAGTTACTCTTTGCAGTCAGACAAATCGTTAATGTACGACGTAATGAAATCTTCCTTTGTTCCAATTTTCCAAACTTAATTTCTGTCTCATATTTCTGAGAAAAGATATTTAACTATTTACGCTATTTACATCATTCGGCCTGTTGTCCTCATCTTTATTGTCATAGTTGCGACGTTTCGGCCGTTGTACGCTACGGCCTTCTTCAGGTGATATACGTAGTGTCCATGGGTGTAGATAGTTCTAATTCCACATACCATACCTTTTTTGAATATCTCCGTTTTGAATGAATTCCCTTCATTAAGTCAACTCTCCAAGTTTTTGTTCCCCCTGCTGTGGCCAGATATTGAACTCGTAACTCTTTGGGTCAAGTTACTCTTTGGATTAGTCAATCAATGCTCTCATTAACTGGGTCATGTGTCCTTGTTGACACATGGTCCAGTGGATAAAAGAAGAAAGCCAGCGTATATAGCGGCTGGAACATCGTAGATATGGCAGTCAGTCAATAGATAAGGCATCAGTCCGATCGATGTAAATACTGTAAATCTTAACTTCATTTTATCTTAATCTTCTAAATTCTCTTGAATCAGCAGCTAACTGTGCAGGTCTTCACCTAAATGAAACTAAAACTGAGTGTATGCCAATTGACATTCGCAACAATCATGAGATCAAAACACTCTCAGATAACATCGTCAAATGTGTCGAAGACTACAAGTATCTAGGATCATACATCAAGAACTCTGAGAAAGACTTCAACATTAGAAAAGGTATAACATGGACTGCTTGTAACAAAATGGATAAGAGCTGGAAATCCAATCTTTCTCGTCAATTCAAAATCCAACTTTTCCGCGTACTTATTGAGCCAATCTTATTCTATGGCTCTGAAACTTGGACTCTCTCAGCAAAACAACAGCGTCGTTTAAATGGATGTTATACACGTCTTTTAAGAAGAGTGCTTAATCTCTCATGGCGAAACCACCCAACTCTAGAAATGATATATGGTGACTTGCCAAGAGTATCAACTTAAGTTTGTAAGAGACGTGTCCAGTTCGACGGGCATTGTGGACGTGCCACAGATGAACTTGTGTCATCATTTGTACTCTGGAGGCACCCATCATCTGTCAATCGATCACGCAAGTTAACCTTTCCAGATAGGATAAAACGAGACACATTGATCCCTAAGGAAGATCTTTTAGGTGCTATGACAGATAGGGAATACTGGTGAGGTGTAGTGAGTTCAATCTCGGCTGAGGCCGCAAGATGATGATGAAAGCATTGTAAAAACAGTAATAATAATAATAATAATAATAATAATAATAAACTAGATCTTTTACAAAATTAGAAAAAAATTGGAAACTCTGGATTTAAAGAGTCAGAATATTATTGCATGGAACCATCCTTGTCTCGCACCAGAGAAAACAAGATACTCTGTTATCTAACTCAAACTTGAAAGATGTAGACAGAGTCATTCATTTGCCAATGGCATTTGTACGAAAGTGAATACAGTAGACGAGGCCAGAATTTGAACTTGGTTCGCCGTTTCCATATTCCGCGCCAGTAACCGTGACCGTAACGCCACCTGCGAATCCAATTAGTTATAACTGGTGCGAAAAGTCAATGAGTACAAAATATAATAATTAGTAATAGTGGTAGTTAGAAACAACAAAAAAAAAAGGTACTAAACTGTTGCGTAATATCAGTCCTTCTATATGAAATTAAATGCTAGAAAATCTTACACATAAAGAAAAAAAATTGAAGCACCAGAAATGTAATTTTACAGAAGGATGCTAACAGAACGAACACGTGAGCAACGAGGAATTTTTAGAGAAAATGGAAGCGAAAAGGACACTTATACTTAACATCAGGAAAAAAAAACAGTTGAAATTTCTGTTGTGGCCTTGTTAGGACCATAAATAAAGACACAAAGAGAGGAAATGTGTTAAATAAATATATTAACAGAAACAGTAATACAAAGATATACAAACGAGAGTGTTACAGCAAGAATGTTCGGTTCGACTTTCAGAACTGACTACTGGAAACTTCCTCCTCCAAAAGGCAGTACCTGCTCCTATTTATAGCTGGGGAGAGTCCATGCATGCGTGGGCAAATTCCCATAACAATTTCTAGTACACATAATGAGGAAAGGGAGCTTGGTTAATCTGATACTCACAGGACAGATTGGTTTCAAGAGGGACAGAGAAAAATAATGCGTAACCTACCTAGTGCGCTTGAGTAAATGGATGGCGGAACAAGGCTTAGGAAGGTAATAAAAATAGGAAAGTTATGAGGAGTTACAAAGGACAGGAAATTGAGGAGTGTCATGATCACCTGCATCCTGAAGCGACAGGGCATGTAGAAGAAGAAGAAGAAGAAGAAGAAGAAGAAGAAGATGGGAGAAAAGAAATTTGAGAAGAAGGAAGGAAAGAATAAAATGAAGAAGAAGACATAAGTACAAAGAGGAGGAGAAGAAAAAAGGTGTCAGAAAATGAAGTAAAATGGATAAAAAAGATCAAGAAAGAAATATAAAAGGAGAAATAAATGCGAAGAAAGAATGAAAATAAAGAAGGTTTAGGAAAAGAAGGAAGGAAAGCAGGAAGAAAAGCAGAAGGAAGGAAGAAGACGAAAAAGAAGAAGAAAATGGTAAAAATCAAATTGAGAGGAAGGAAGGAAGGAAGGAAGGACAATAACTAAAAAAGAAGAACAACAACAACAGCAACAGGATGGAAATAAATAACATAAGGAGAGGAATAAAAAATAGGTCAGGGGTCAGACTAAGAAGGAAAAAGATCAAAAAGATCAATAAAGGAATGAAGTCAAGTAGAAAATATAAAATAAGTAAGAAAGGTGAAGAAGAAATGAAAAGAAATTTGGAAGAAGAAGAAGAAGAAGAAGAAGAAGAAGAAGAAGAGTGGTAGTAAAATAGTAACAACGAATATGAAAGAAAGAAAAATCACATGGAAGTAAATTATTTGGAAGACAAAGAAGAAAAAGAAATAGAACTTAAAATGAAGGGAAGAAAATAGATAAAAAAAAAGTGTTCAAAAGCAAAGTGTACGAATGCATGAAGATAAAAAGGAAAAAAGATTGTAATAGAATGAAAAACAGAAGACGACAAAAACATTTAAAGATAAATAAAAGAAAAGAGAAGAAGAAAGAATGTTGAAGAAGGGGCTAGGAGCAGAGAACAGAAAACGAAGAAGTAGAAGAAGAAGATGGACGAAAAGAAATTTGAGAAGAATGAAGGAAAGAATAAAAAGAAGAAGAAGAAGAAATAAGTACAAAGAGGAGGAGAAGAAAAAAGAAGACAGGTGTCAGAAAACGAAGGTAAAGGGATAAAAAAGATCAGGAAAAAAATATAAAAGGAGAAATAAATGCAAAGAGGGAAGGAAAATGAAGAAAGTTGAAAAGAAGGAAGGAAGGAAGGAAGGCAGGAAGAAAAGCAGAAGGAAGGAAGGAAAGAAGGAAGAAGACGAGAAAGAAGAAAATGGTAAAAATCAAAATGAGAAGAAGGAAGGAAGGAAGGAAAAAGAACAACAACAACAATATAAAAAAGAACAACAACAACAACAAAGAAAAGAAGAACAACAACAAAAAGAAGAAGAAGAAGAAGAAGAACAGCAACAGCAACAGGGTCAGAAAATGTTGGAAAAAAGATCAATGAAGAAGAAGAAGAAGAAGAAGAAGAAGAAGAAGAAGAAGAAGAAGAAGAAGGTACAGGAGGAAGGAGCAGAATAAGACGAAGAAGGAGGAGGTGAAGAAGAAGAAGAGGAGAAAGGTGGAGGAGGAGGAAGAAAAATAAGAGGGGGAAAGAAGAAGAAGAAGAAGAAGAAGAAGAAGAAGAAGAAGAAGAAGCGTGATTATTTGTGCAGTGTTTAAATGAAGTTGAAAAAATTGTAGAAGACAAATAATCACAAGGCAAAGAACTTTAAAGAAAATTTGCTAAAAATGAAAACAATTTGGTGGCGTTCAGGTGTTGATTGTCTTGGGCAGTTTGTATATTTTTTGTGGACATCTGATTACTGCTGCACGTGTTTCTTTCTGATGGTCGGAATGAGAAGGGCGGAAATCAGTGGCCCTCCTCCTCCCACTTCTTATTTAGTCATCTCTCTTCTTTTGTTTTATTCAGCTTCATTGTATATTGTCGACTAATGGACTTGAAAAGCGATCATCAAAAGTTTTCAAAATCATTAAATCGATACAATTAATTCGCCCTAATTCATGAAACTAAATCATTTGGAATTTTCTAGGAATCTGTGGGAAGATAGAAAATTTGATGAAATAATTAAAATGCTAGTGAACAAACGTGCTTACTCTTCGAAACTCGAAGCATTAATAGACGTTTTCAAAGCGTAGCTTAAATGTGGCACAAGGCCGAAAGCATGGGGTACCCATTGAGGATCGAACTCACTATTCAATTGTAATTGTTCTAGCAAGACAAGCTTGCTAAACATTACACCACGCCAAGGTACCCAACATGAAGTATTATAGGTGCATGTAGATTAGACACATCTCCATTTCAGCAGATCATATTCAGGAAGAGATTTTTATTGTAATTATTCACATAATTTATATAAAAAAAAAAACGCTATCGGTACATTACAAATTAAAATTACTGTATATAAAAAAGCAAGCAATATAAGAGAAAATAAAGGAAGAAATTACAACAGTAAAAATATCGTTTATAATAAAATACTGTAAGTCGAAAGAAAGCAGAAAACATACTGTAATCATTTCACCCCAAGCAAGGCGACAATGCCGCTAGAACTCAGGGTGTTACAAGGAAGGAAAGGGAATAACCAATAAGGGAACTGAGATGGGGAGAATTGAGAAATGGACAAAAAAGTATCAGGGTTCAAAGAAACAGAAGAAGGCGATTGACGTTGCATTTCAATTTTTGAACATTGTAGTCATCAGGGAAGAAAAACTCCGGGAGGGAATTCCACAGGTGAGAAGTACGAGAAATAAAAACTGTTAGGGTAGAGGTGTTGATTGCATCTAGCTAGTTAAACATAACAGCAGTGGGACCTAGTTGTCAATTTAGTAACACGCTTAAATTCATGTATCCGGGACACCAGGGATATAAGCTCACCAGAGCAGTTGCCATGAAAACATTTATTGAAAAGACACAGGGAAGTCACGTCACGTTAGTGAGAAAATGACTGAAGTCGAGATGGCGGGTTAGGAACGATTATATTACAGACCCGGATTTTGGTAAGAATCGCGGGATGTACACCATGACCACCAAATTAGATATGGCAACAGTATTCAATGCAGGGACGAATGGTAGATTTAGAAGTGTGCACGAATGATTCTGACCAGAAAGAATATCTGTTACGACTCATTGATCAATTTTCCTTGCAGTAGACAGAGTAATTGATTTGATATATTCGATTCATTTCAAGTCAGAGGAAAACGTGAGTCAAAGAAAGCGTAGAGTGTTAACTTCCTGGAGTTTAGCACTAACCATGCTAATGGCGTGTCGAAAAATGTTCTCTGGTAATTAAATGAAATCAGGTATGTCTATATTTCTATTCTCCTCATCTTTGTCACCATATTTATCAAGTATCTGCCTATATTTCTGAGATGAGGTATTATGCACACTATTTACATTATTCGGACTATTGATCCCATCTGAGATGAGGTATTATGTACACTATTTACATTATTCGCACTATTAGCCTCATCTTTGTCGCCATATTTATCACGTATCTGTCTATATTCCTGACATCAGGTATTATGTACACTATTTACATTATTCGATCTATTATCCTTACCTTTGTTGCTATATTTATCACGTATCTGGCTATATTTCTAAGATGAGGTATTATGTACACTATTTACATTATTCGGACTATTGTCCTCATCTTTGTCGCCATATTTATTTCGGCTGTTGTACGCTCCGGCCTTCTTCAGTTGGTTGGAATGTCGAACTGAACCCTTTATTTCGCTCATTGGTTTAGACTGTTCTAGTTCTTCGTGCCTTCATCCACTGTGCCAAGTGACCTTGAGGACACATGGCACAGTGGATAAAGGCGTTAGTTAGATCCAGTGACAGGACCCAAAGAGTGTGAGTTCAATACCTGGTTAAGGCAGTGGAAAACTTTCAGAGGGGAATTAACAGGATATAACTGATAAGTGACATCCATTAAACATGGCACGTGGAACTAAAATTGTCTACCCCAGGGAGCAATTAAAGGATTCAATTCGAAGCATATTTGCATTAAAAGTGTCACCAGATATCGAAAAATTGCTTGTGGGCACTATTCACTATTATATCGGATGTAAGTAATGTAGTACTGTTTAAGCCTAGATTAGTGTAGCAAACTGGGAGCCCCCGCCTCTAAAACAGAGGGGGTCACAGTTATGCGAAGATGAATTCATGAATTGTTTATTGCTTGAGTACTAAACACTTCCATATTGATTTAAACCTAGCTTAGGCTGGCATAAGTTTGAAATAATGGAGCTTCCAATAATACGAGATCAGAAAGTGTTTATGGCTAGATTAAACAGCAGGCACCTCAGTCCGCTGAATTCTCTCTCTCTCTCTCTCTCTCTCTATATATATATATATATATATATATATATATAGATAATATTAGTGGAAAATATACGTACATATACAAAATATATATAAAAATTCCCATACATGTATATTTTCAGAAAAAAAAAAAAAAAAAAAATCCAAGAGGAAGGATCCAGGTAGAACTCAATGTCTAGGACAGAGTAAGGATATAATAAAAAGGCTTAAACACTAAGCCTTTTTATATATATATATATATATATATATATATATATATATATATATATATATATATATATATATATATATATATATATATATATATATATATACAAGTATAGGATTGGTGTATACGGAATAAATTCTACATTCAACACCATCACTTGATAAGACACCAGAGGTGTTGAAACAAAATGGCTATTTTTGTAGTGATTTTATAACATATTTATGTTATAATTTTAAATAAATAATTATATATATATATATCTGTCGCTGCTCGTACTTTTCTCTCACACATTTTCTTGGTTAAGGGCCAGTAAATTCACTGGCGTTTACAAAAGTCTGCATTATATATATTAAAAATTTCAGTACATTTTAACTAAACTCTTGGAAATTTTGACATTTTATTGTGTTTCAGTGTCATTTATTTAAATGTTTTGTTGTTTCATTCTTGTTTTCTTTCTTTCAACTCAATAAGAAAGCCAGTCCGTTTGCCAAGCAACTATAACAAGACAGTCGAAAAAAACAACAGGTGTCTCCACTTTCTATTGAGCAAGCGGACTCGTTCTTAAAGCGAGAGTGATGCCGAAAGAAATGAGTCTTCTCAGACAAGTTTAGCATTATTTCACAGCTTCGGAACTTGCTGGGTGGTCCAAAGTTTTACTTACCAAAACCTACACACAAAATGCAAAAAAAAAAAAAAACAAAAAAAAACATTTTGCATGTCTCACACACGTCTAGAGTCTCGAGTCAAGGCTGAAAGAATTGTTGTATGGTAATCTTGTACACCACCCAGCAGAAGTGTCTGGGCTTTGAAGTGAAGAATAAAAAAAAAACACTCTTTGTCTCAAAGATTTTAATTTATTTTGCTTTTGTTTACCTACGAATATTTTCTTGGGCTTTGTGATCATCATAATCGCCATCATCATCATCATTTTTCTCATTCATTTTAATCAATTACTGAAAATTACTGACGAGTGGACAGACCGATTACTTACAGAGTCGAGGTGCTGAATATAATTTGTTTGCATTAATCCTATATATATCTATATATATATATATATATATATATATATATATATATATATATATAAACGTGAACATTGAAGTCAACACTTTAATATTTATATTTACATACGCTCCATCTCATATTGAGCACTTTATCCCATAAATATAGCACACCTTAAAACTATATATATATATATATATATATATATATATATATATATATATATATATGAAGAAATATAGTTTTAACGTGTGTTATATTTATGGGTTAAAGTGCTCAATATCAGGATAGAGCGTATATAAATATAAAAGTGGGTACTAAAGGCATTGACTTCAATGTCGACTTATATTTAAATAATAAATTCGAATGTCACTGTGTCACTGTGTCACATTTTTTTCAATTCAAAGGAGCACAACTCTCTAAATTTCAATAGCCAATTTCTAATGAAAAAGATACTGTTCTCAAATTACAGTGTTCCAAAATAAAATTGTTCCTGTTTTCAACTTCCCTCCTATAGGTCGTAGCCCAACATATCATAGCATTTTGGAATCAGGCCAACTCTGTGAACAAAATAAAAACATTCCCGGTCGGATCCAGACCCGAACCCTGAAATTTTGGATTCCCAAGTTTTTATTATTGCGATTGTTTTCGGCGATTTTTGTGACGAAGTTTGTTTTTTTGTTTTTTTTGTTTTTTTTATGATAACAATTTTTATAACTTGGAAATAAATTTGGGAATAATCGAAATTAATTGGGAAATCCAGTGAAAGTCACCCATGAAATAAAAATAAATTGTTTGTATGAAAAGGAAGGACCTGCGTACATCAAATTGTCTTTAATTTAAGTGTCGTCAGAAGAATTATCGTCGAATTTTTAAAAGGTAAACTTAAATATTAATACAATACTTAAATGCAGCGATCAATTTTGAGTTCTTCTGTAGTTTACTGTTGCCTATTGTATTTACTAATCCGTACCTATTGTGATGAAGGCCCATCAAGAGCCTTCCGATGTATATATATATATATATATATATATATATATATGGGGGTAGTAGTAGTAGTAGTAGTAGTAGTAGTAGTAGTAGTAGGAAGGCTCTGGTTAAGGAATCGGTGAGTGGAGATCGAAATCCAGTTAGGTTCGTTTCATTTTCTTACGTGCAAGTACCCTTGAGAACGGTATGAATCCATGTCTTCTCCACACACCTCCAGGTATGGGTCAATATCAGACCTGACCAGACCAGACCAGACCAGACTGGGTCTTATAGGAATGGATGGCAACCAGTCTAAGAAAAAAACAACTGAATTATTGTATTTCGATTTTATTCTAATGTTCTTAATCTATCCTAAGAAGGGATATCATTTAATTGATTACGTTTTAGCCTGAAGAGAATGGTAAACAAGAATCAAAGATGAAATACGCTTATTTAAAGAAGCGCCAAAACCTAGTATATTTGGGTGATCACTCGGAGAGTTTATCTATCTATCTATCTATCTATTAGGTTGGTGCAAAAATAATGACATAATAATGTCGTTTTTTGACGTATTTTTTAACTTCAAAAAACGACATTATTACGTCATTATTTTTGCACCAACCAAATATCTATCTATCTATCTATCTATCTATCTATCTATTTATCTATCTATCTATCTATCTATCTATCTATCTATCTATCTATCTATCTATCTATCTATTTCTCTCTCTCTATGTCCGTTTCAGTATATCTATGTATGTATGTATGTATCTATCTATCTATCTATCTATGTTATTTGTCTATTCCTAACTGATTTATCGCTGACTGGTGTTGAAATTTTTCAACAAAATAATTTTTATTATTGTCGCATTATGCGGATAAGTCTCTTAACCATTCTTGTTTTTATATCAATATTTCTTAGTGTATTTCAAATTAGTAGTGAATAAAATTAATGTAGATGCTTCTTCCTTATGGGGGGCAAAGAGTTATTATCATTAGAGCCTTCTATATAAAAGGTTAATGTTGAGTCGATTGCCTGAGCAAATAAATAATATGTGAATGACACTGTGTTAATGGCGGTCTCAGAAATGAAAACTGCTAGAAATTCTAGACAAAGAAAGCGGGAAGAAAAAAAATAGCCATTCACTCTAAAAAGACAATATTTATCATCATAGCAAGAGAGACGACAAGATGTCAGATACAAAATGGTGACCCAGAATGAAGCAGGTAAAAATTAGCTGAGTAGTGACGCGACAGTCGACAGAGAATGTTACAGGGAAATGCGACGGTGCATTTTAATAAGAAAAGACCTTTCAAAAGCTAAACAATGTATTAAGACACAGGAAATTCACAGATGAAGAGGTGACTCGAGCAGCAGATGTGGTTACATAAATTAAGCTTAGTTCCAAGAAGGGGGAAACAATTTTAAAGAAACAAAGAAGTACTGAACTGCTATGCCATATCCATCCTCTTGTATCCTAGTAATTGCTGGATTCATTGATTTGTTTGTTTAACAGCATATAAGCTCCTCTTGGCTCATTTAACGCTAAAATTTATTTTTTTGAGTACTTTGAAGCAATTCACAATTTTACGATAAATAATTATTTTTGGTCATTTTATTATAAATAGGTATTTTTGGCAATTTTAATATAAATAAATGTTGTTGGTCATTTTACTACAGATATTTATTCTTCCCCATTTTACTATAAAGAGTTATGGTTGGTCATTTTACTCTAAATATTTATAGTTGTTAATTTCTTTATATAAAACTAGCAGCATGGCCCGGCGTTGCCCGTGCTCGATTCAAAAATCGTACGACTCATACAGCAATCGCTATCACTTGACTTAAAATATTTTTGCCCTTCCTTGCCTTTAAAGGAGTGCCCTTTGTCGTGCTGATGTTGCTACATGCCTTACTTCTTGCCTATCTCACACTGCGAAAACTAAACATTAAATCTGTTACGAAAAAAGAACTAAACAAAATGAACACAAAACGATCTGCTTTAAAAAAGGACTCGTAACTGGAAAAACCGAATGAAAAAAGAATGTTAACAACAAATACTTTTTCACACCCAAACCAGTTCTGCGGAATCAGAATCAACGTTGAGTTTAAGCAAGCGAATGAGCCAATTGGAATAAAGTGCCATGCAGATTTAAATTTTTCCCACTTGTGACGAATGCAGCTATCGATTTTTTTTGCATGCTAGCATGCTAGTTAACATTCGTGTCAGTCAGCTGTTGGCTCTCACGCTGCTTCCTGCCTATTCGTGGCAGTCAGCTATAGGCTCTCACTCTGGCCAGTAGAAAATGGCTGCAAACTAAATGAAAACTGCCGTAGAAGCATGAAAACATGGATTATTTCCACTGTCGATGGGAGTTGGGAAATGCAATGTCGGTCTTGGCCTTCCCGCTAACTTGGAGCATGTGCATGTAAATTTTGGTGCAAATCCGTCGAAAATTGCGGCCGTGCATTCGTTACACACATCCTGCCTTTTATAGATAGAGATATATAGTTGGTATTTTTACAATAAATACGTACTTTTTATACTTTCATGTTTTGTTATTGTTTGGGTGTTTACTATTTTCCCATAGCTGGGAGCCAAACATGTGCTACCGCCCCGGGTCCCGGTTAGAGACCTTATTGCCGGATATTAGTTCATCGGCATATCCTGGACTAGTGAATGCTGGGCAATTTCCTTAGAGATGAAGAGACTGGAAGCTACAGTGAATACCATGAACTGAAACGGTTTTTGTTTGTTTCTGTTTATTAATTTTTTTTTAAAGAGGAATCACATAAAGAATATTTAAAGAAATAAGGACTGAAAGGTCACATGTGCTGAAAATCAGAAAGATGCAGCTCAAATTACTAGAACACATTTTGAGGAAAGTAGGCTTAGAAAAGTAAGCACTGACAGGACATATTGAGAAAAGGAGACGTACAGAGAAGCAGAGAGTTACGTCTACATAATGCGTTTCTACGGATTACAACAAAGTGATGAGATTTTGTGGCGAACCCCTATCACCGACAGCCTGATGTAATTTCTTCATATTTTAGTTGCCGTGTCGTATCAGAAACCTGGCGATCATGACTATCCACAATTTCCTAACCTTTTCTGCTATCCATTTACTCAACCTCGCTCGATAAGGACGTGCGCTGTTTTTCTCTCTCCCTCTCGCTTCCATCCTGACCTGTGAGCATTAAGTTTTCTAAACCCTCTTTCCTCTATGTGCTCTAGAAATTTCAACTGTTTATGTGTAATTTTTTGTTTCACTTTCCTGTAAAAATTCATAGTTGCTCACATGTTCGGTCCATGGCATTCTCAGTATCCTTCTGTAGAACCAGACCTACGTTGCTTCAGGTCTATCTGTGAGGAAATTATCCAGTATTCACTGCCATAGCAGAGAACTAATTTTCCGCAGCTTTTTCTTACTCTTTTCAGTGTCTCTAAAGGAATTTTCCTGTTTCTTAATACTTTGCATATCTTTTGGAAGGCATCTTCCGCTATTGGAATAAGCCTTCGGATTTTAATATCACATCTTCCGTCTTCTGTTAAAACACTTCACAGATATTTATATTGTTGTATTTGTTTGGCATCTCCAATTTGTAATTTGTATGTTTGGCTGTCCCTTTTGCTAACGACTATGCATTCTGTCTTCTTGCAGTTGATGTTTACTCCTTTCTTCTTGCTTTCGATGTTTTGTAAGCATCGCTTATTAATATTTAATTTAAAACCTTGTTAACTATTATTACTTTTTGACTAATATTTCTTCCTCTTTATTCCGATTGTTTACTTAGACGAGAAGTATCACTAGCTATATTATCTTGGTGTTTTATTATATGAACTATTGTAAATTAGCATTCATTTTTTTAACTAGTACTGTTTTCTCCTTCATTTCAGATACTTTATTTATATCAGTAGCATTGCGTCCTGGATATGACGATAAACTACATCCGGCAGCAATTTCTATGTTAGACTATTCCTTTGGCTAACGACAATGCATTCTCTCTTCTTGCAATTGATGCTTATTCTTTTCTTCTGCATAAGTGAAGGAAAGCAAGAATACGTTTGAGGAAGTTTGAAGAACACAGTGGCTGAATATCTGGATTAGAGAAAAAACAACAAAGGTAAAGATACCAGCTCTAATAATTTGCCTCAGGGTTAATTTAATTTTGTAATATTACGATGAATGATCAATGACTGCTCGTGTTATACCCCCACCAACCCCCAAATAATTAAATCGTTTAAAACTAAATTTATTGAATGCAGTAATAATTTTCTTGGCTTACGTTAATATCTCGTTAAAACGACAGTTCTCCTACCACCACTGAAGTTAAGCACTGATGATCGTGGCCCGTACTTAGATGGGTTACCGTTTGGGAATACTAAGTGCTGTAAGTTTGGATGTGCGAGTGGTGTTATGGATAACGGCTCGGAATTGGAAATCGGAGAGCCGTGTTCCAATTCCAGTCGAGTTTGTTATATTCAGGCAAATACCGTCGGGAAAGGAATGGATTCATCTTTTCTCCCCTAGATATGGGTTAAATAGTAGGATCACGGTTCTCCACAGTTTCCTTCCTGTTCTCAGCGACAATTCCGCCGAATATTTACGCAGACTTGTCAAGTAGGTTACTTGCTGCTTTCCTTATAAACACGTTGAAACACCGGTTCCCGTAAGATCACCGAAGTTAAGCAACGTTGAACCTGGCCAGTAACTAGATAGGTGAGAACCAGGTGATGTAAGCTTGGATGTGCCAGTGGTGTAATGGATAACGAATTGGAAATCAGGGAATCGAGTTCTAATTCCACTCGGGAGCGCGCAAATGCACTTCGGAAAGGTATGAGTCCATTTTTTCTGCCCCCACTTATGGGTTAAATAGTTAGTTAATTGTTATCTCAAAAAAATTCTTGCCATCTCGAAAAAAATGTTTTCTGGCTTTAAATAACCCGCAAAAGGTTGATAAGCCGTAAAAAAACAAATCAACCAATCAATAGTTTTCTATCTGCGTAAAACAAAACAACAGCTTTGAAATTGGCATAGCGTCAAAATTTACCGTTTAACCTTCTCTACTCAACTGCCATGTAACCCCAGTTTCCGGCGTAGACGTGTATATATGTTTTCATCGAAACTGTCTTTTTAAAACATGGACAAATAAACACCTCCAATACATAACCAGTCGCCGACGTGTTTATACGTCGATCTTGATTCTAAAGTTGAAACAAGTCTAATTGTCAACTCCTACGTCCGGTAGAGGTGTTAGCCACCGCTCGGGCACTTCAAAGTGACTTATTTTCTTAGTTACTATATAAAATATATACCGTAATTCCCCATGCTTAATACGCATTTTTTTCTAAAATTAATAAACAAAATCAGGCGTGCGTATTATGCACTGCAACAAAAAATCTTTAAAAATTGCCGTAAAATAAAATAAGAATTATCATACAACTAAATTAGAATAATATTATTCTATGCTTAAAGCCATTTTTTTTTTAAATAACCGTAGGAAACGCTGGCCGTGATGAAATTGCAGAGGTACATTTATGAGGTTTGATTAGCAAACAAGAGGTGCGTATTATGCATGAGTAGAAGCATTTTCCCACATTTTCATCACAATTTTCGGTGTGTGTATTATGGATGAAGGCGTATTATATATGGGGAATTATGGTATATACAAATAAAACAAATCAGTCTGAAAATTAAACGTTTTTCACAAAATAATTGGCGGGAAAGGGGTTAATCAATTCTCGCCCACGCATTCTATTCTACGCACCTTGTATCCATTTCTAATTTCGTAATGTATATTCCGTTTATTTATCTTGCTTTGCACGTACAGGTACAGCACTTGCCATTCACAATTATTTTGCTAGGAATGCCCGGTTTATGCAACACGTCATCTGCCTAATTTAAGACTGCATTTACAGCTGTTGTACCGAAAGACATCCTACGTATTTTCTGGCTAGATCAAAACCGGTTTTTTTTTTGTTTTTTGTTTTTTAATGTCTGCTTCTCTACAAAAACGGTTGGTTTGTATGATAAAAGAAAATAGCAAGAAATCATGCGAATATATGCCATAGTTTCTCGTATATAAAACGTAGTTTTTTCCAACACGAAATTTACTATTAAATACCTAAATATACTTAAATATTCAAGCGCCTTACGAGGCTGGCTTCCCGCTCTCACCCCTTCACTGTCGAAACTCCTAAATGTAGCCGTCTCTTCTACTCTAATAGCTTCGTGTCTTGCACCTCTCGCCTGTGGAACTCCCTTCCCTGTTCCAGTTTCCCTGAGAGCTATAATCTCCAGCTATTCAAGTGTAATGTCAATCGACATCTCCAGTTGCCTTGATCTATCCACTACCCTTCTCCTCATACTCCCTTCTATCACTCCTATCTGATCTCGCTCTATATTTTCTGTAACCCCTTGCGTCCTAGTGGCTTACCGCCTTGCTTTGGGTGAAATCAATATATATATATATATATATATATATATATATATATATATATATATATATATATATATAAATACTTTTACTGAGGGATATACAAAGGAAATGTTTTTTCAGACACCTGGTGGCTTGACGAATTATAACCTGGCGCCCTTTTGTTTTGACACCAGGATAAATCGTTATACGCTTTATGGCAAAAAAAAAAACGTCATATTTATGGAAATACTGTACTTGAACAGATAATCATGTCGTAAAAAATTACAGCTTTATATATTTATTGCATTTATTATTATAAAATCTTTGTATTTACAAGTTTACTATTCGTTTATTGCTGTCACATCTGGTCTGGTGTTTCTATTATGTATTTAGAGTTTCTTAATAAAATCCAAAGTAGAATCTGCAATGTAATCCGTCCTGATACAACATCTCGGTTTCAGTCGAATTCCAATCGCCGTAATGTAGATTCTCTGTACCTTTTCTATAAATATTTTCATGATAATTGTTTTGATGTATTTTCCTTTTTGGTCCATAGACTTCATGAATCTAAGCGCAGTAATAGATTGACAGTATGGCTTCATCATTTTACAGTTGAAATGGCTAGATGTCACTATAAGTTCTATGCTAACATTTTCACCACTCGCATTTCTCGCTTGTAGAATTTTCTTCACAAGATAGACAGATAGATTGATAGATAGATAGATAGTAAGTTCGTTAGTTCGGTTTGGTTCGGTTTGGTTTGGTTTGTTTTGTTTTGCTGATAATTTTTTTTTCCAGAAATGTATTTCTGGTAATATTTTTTCCTAAAAAATGTATTTCTGGTAATATTTTTTTAAAAAAAATGTATTTCTGGTAATATTTTTTCCAAAAATATATTGCGGGTAATATTTTTTTCCAAAAATGTATTGCTAGTAATACTTTTTTTCCAAAAATGTATTGATCGAAATAATGTATTGCTGGTAATAATTTTTTCTTCAAAATTTATTGCTGGTAACTATTTTTACAAAACGCATTGCTGGTATTAAAGTCTATTTTTACACTTTCATAGTATTTTGACACCAATTTTGGGCTTAACTATTTACTCATAGCTAGGGCTCTAACAGGTGCTACCACCCCGGGTCAGAGAGGACCTTGGAACACCAGCAATTAAGAGGTGGTTCCACGCTCCTCAAAACCTCCTGATCAGAGGCCTTGCTGTTGGACGTAGTTTATCGTCTTACCCAGGACGCGGATGTAGTTTATCGTCACATCCACGACGAGATAGATAGATAGATAGATAGATAGATAGATAGATAGATAGATAGATAGATAGATATGAACAGATTGAGATAGATAGATAGATAGATAGATAGATAGATAGATAGATAGATAGATAGATAGATAGATACGAACCGAGTAAGATAGATAGATAGATAGATAGATAGATAGATAGATAGATAGATAGATATGAACAGACTGATATAGATAGATTTTAGGGAGATGTAAGTAAATATGAGGAGTCAATAAATCACACTTAACTGGTAAGAAAAAAGAACGATATGAATCTGTTGACGTTGAACTCAAAATGTCATTTCACCATAAGAATCAGCAATATTATTGGTCCTGACCTGGCGTTTCGACTTTAATCCCAATTACGTCTTAGTGGCTTTATTGCCTTGCTTGTGGTTAAAAATAATGACTATTTACTTGAGTATAATGCGCAGATTTCTCAAAAGAATATTCAAAATTATAACCATGCAACTTCTCTCCAACAGAACCCCCCCCCGAAAAAATTATGTTCTTTAACTGTTCGATGATTTAAATAATGTTTTCTTTTTCTCCTATTCGCTCATACTCACTAAAAATTTGCGTCTTAGTGGCTTTTTTCCTTGCTTGGAATGAAATTGTTAAACATTATGACCAAGAAAATATTTATCAGCAATCCATTTTCTTGTCTAAGCATTGGTATATGATTTAACTTCTTCTTTCTTGTCTTCTTTCTCTTCTTCTTCTTTGTTTCCTTCCTCCTCTTCTTCTCATTCTTCTTTTTCTTCTTCTTCCTTCTCCTCTTCTTTGTCTTCTTCTTTTGCCTTCTACTTCCTCTTCTTCTTCCTCTTCGTCTTCTTTTACTCCTTCTTCTTCTTCTTCGTCTTCTTCCTCTTCTTCTACTTCTTCTTCCGCCTTTTCTACTTCCACTTCTTTCTCCTCCTCCTCTTCTTGTTCTTTGTCTTCTTCCTCTTCTGCTTCTTCCTCATCTTCTAATTCTTCTTCTTCTTCTTCTTCTCCTCCTCCTCTCCCCCTTCTTCCTCCTCTTCTTGTTCTTTGTCTTCTTCCTTCTCTTCTACTTCTCCTTCTTCCTACTCTTCTTCTTCTTCTTCCACCTCCTCCTCTTTTTGTTCTTTGTCTTCTTCCTCTTATACTTCTCCTTCTTCCTCCTCTTATAATTCTTCTTCTTCTTCTCCTCTCCTCCTCCTTCTTCTTCCTCCTTTTCTTGTTCTTTGTCTTCTTCCTCCTCTTCTAATTCTTCTTCTTCCTACTCTTCTTCTTCTTCATCCTCTTCTTGTTCTTTGTCTTCTTTTTCTTTTTGTTGTTGTTGTTCTTCTTCCTCCCCCTCTTGTTGTTGTTGTTCTTCTTCTTCTTCTTTGTGCCGTATTCCTTAGGAACATTGGTGATCATCGATCTTTGCAACTTCCTGTCCTTTGGATCTCTTAGTAAACATTGTCTTTCAGCTATCTCTCCCAGTCCCTGGTCAGCCAACCATTTACACGTACTCGTAGGTTCTTCGCTGCTTACGTCTACTCCTCTGGTCTTCAATATGTCCTGTGAATGTCAAATGTTCTAAGCCTACTTTCCTCATTTGAACTGTCTCTTGCATCCTTTTCGTTTCCATTTTCTCTAAAACTTCGTCGTTGTTCACGTGATCAGTCTCCGGAATTCTCATCTTCCTTCTGTAGAACCATATTTCTGTTGCTTCAAGTCTCTTCTTCATCTGTAATAAGACTGTTCAGTATTCTTTGCTACATAGGAGATTGTCTTTGTTTATAACGAATTTTTCCTGTTTTTTAATATATTGCTTAGATTTTGGAAGGCATTTTCCCTATCCCAATGTAACTTCGGATTTCGATGTGGCATTTTCCGTCCTTTGTTAAAACACATCCCAGATATTGAATTTTTGTCAATTCCTAATTTGCCTGTTGGGCAATTCCTTAAACTGACACCCTTTTTCTGAAAACTTTTTGCTAATGCCCGAATAATTTTGCCGTGCATTAATTTCCCCCAAGAACTTTGTAGCTTCATCACTGAAGTGCCGATGAATGAGCACTTCGACGTGGTGTAATGGTTAACAAGCTTGTCTCGCCATATGAATTACGACCGAAAAATGATTTAGATCCTCAATGGGTGTTCCTTGTGCCACGGCTATACTTTGGGCATTTCGATGTGGTATACTGGTTAGCAAGCTTTTCTCGCTAGAAAAATGACGACTGAGTAGTGAGTTCGATCATCATTTGGCGCTCCATACTTTCGGCCTTGTGCCACATCTATGATACGGTTGGAAAATCAATATAGGGCACCACGAGGCTGTGTAATGGTTAGCAAGCTTGTTTCGCTAAAACAATTGCGACTGACTAGTGAGTTCGATCCTCACTGGGTGCCCTCCACTTTCGGCCTTGTGCCACGTCTAAGCTACGCTTGGAAAATCACTATGGAGACCTCGCTAGTCTCGATAGAACAATTAGGATTGACTAGTGAGATCGAGCCTCCGTGGGTGCCACTTCTTTCGACCTTGTGCCACATCTAAGCCACGCTTGGAAAATCACTACATATATACATACATCGGTTAGCAAGATTGTCTCGTTACGTCAATTACAACTGAGTAGTGAGTTCGATCCTCACTGGGTACCTCCTACTTTCGGCCTTGTGCCACATCTACGCTACTCTTGGAAAATCAATATAGGGCACCTCGAGCCGGGTAATGGTTAGCAAGCTTGTCTCCCTAAAACAATTACGACTGACTAGTGAGTTTGATTTTCACTGAATGCCCTTACTTTCGACCTTGTGCCACATCTTAGCTACACTTGGAAAATTAATGTAAATAGTCGAAATGGGGTCCTCAAGGTGGTGTACTGGTTAGCAGCCATTTCTCGGTAGAAAAATCACGACTGAGTAATAACTTCGATCTTCACTTGGAGCTCCATACTTTCGGCCTTGTGCCACATCTAAGATACGCTTAGAAAATCATCATTAAAGTCTCGCTCTGTCTCCATTTTCCAACGACCTTTCTCTAGAACGAAAGTCTGAAAACGTCGTACTTACCTGTTAATCATTACTTCTTGAGAATGAACAATTTATGTGTGTGTGTGTTTACTGCAAACATTATTTTTGTATAGATATACATGTTTGAGAAGACGCCCCCCTTTTTAAAGAGTGTTGTTATGTTTATCGACCTGCAGACTCAAAAATATTAAACAAAATATGCTCTGCCGCAAGATTCGAACCAGTACCCGCCTTATTCGGAGAAACAGCCTTGTTTGGGCATAGAGAGCGTAACACTCCAACGCTTTTAAGAAAGGCACACCCACACGTTTAGATTTTCTCGGATGTCCATTTCTGATGGATCTTGTATTCGAACAAAACAATTTCTAACGAAACAATTAATGTTTTTTTTTAAATATATCTTATTACGTCAAACTTTATATTTAGGAGACACCACCACGCCCCTCTAATTATACAAATATTAGTCCATCACTTATATATATATATATATATATATATATATATATATAATAAAGGAGCCAGGCAGTAGGTAGGTTTGCCTGGCTCCTTAGGATTACCTTAGGCTTTGCTCTACTTAGTGTATTGAGCACTTTACGTAGTTGTCTTTTTACCCGTTTTTTTTTTTTTTTCTGACTCGGAGCTTGAACACTGGACGGTTGTTTTCGTCTTAGTTCAATGTTCTTGGTTCTTTCTTTTTTTCATTCCCCATTTTTCCTCAGGTAACAATTTGCTCTAATGCAAGTTGAGCTATCCAAGGTTTTTTCAAACGAGTACCACCATTTATATATTTATGCACAGACACACACAGACACACACAGACACACACACACACACACACACACATACATATATATATATATATATATATTATAAATTAATTGATTTAAAATATGGTTATTTTCGCTACACAGTTCCAACCATGTTTCAAAAATAGAAGCTAAAAACCCCTAATTTTATTTTTGCAAATAAATTAAAAGCATTAGTTCTATTTCATCTTCAAGCGAATTTTGGAGTAACTTTTAAAATTTACCGGGTTTTAAATACACAGCTAAAATCATTGTGTATTTAGGCAGCAATCACTTTTTTATACATGTTTTATTAAAGACGACAGACAAAGTAGTGCGATTAAGATTTTCATTTAATGTTTTTGTGTTCGAACAAGTGCTTTATTTTGGACACAGACTCTTTAAAAACTGTCCAAAGACTCTTTAATTCCGAGCGATTTGGGCCCTACTTTTAGCCATTATCAAGTATATATATATATATATATATATATAGTTAACTTATGAAAAACTTGGTAATCCGTATGGGTAGTCCCAAGGAGGATGAAATCCTGAGAGCTCAGTATGTAAATCCAGAGCTAATATTTTAAAGAAAAACAGACCACTTTAAGGAAAATGTCATGATGCCATTTCTGATCTTATGTCTCTGGGCGGGACCCGGAAAGAAATGAGTACACACCAGAAATCAAAGGAAATGAAATAATAATAACAATAATAATAATAATAATAATAATAATAATAATAATAAACTTGCTAAAGACTAAGTTTTAATTCACGAGTAAAAACTAAATCGAAAAGCAAAAGGTACCCAGCCACAACTTCGCAAATCAGGCTTGGAATACAAAGAAATTTTAAACAAATGTCGTCTAAAGACGATAATTTGCTGCTTTTTAGGAGCACAAAGAAAAGGCGACAGTATGTCGTCCCGTTTAACAAATGTTAACTTTATTTCTGGTTGAGCCGTTGTCTTAATAACCCTTTAACTAATTTCATTCCGCTATAGACTCCAATTTAGTTTTTTTTTGTTTGTTTTGCTTCGATGCATCGTAAGACAAATTAACGACTGAAGGAGTGGGTAAGGGAATCTTGTATTAAAGAGCGTGAGTCGGGGTTCGGATTCCACTGGAGTCGGGCGCTTGACTGGATGCATCTCCAAACACATGTCGCCCAAAATGATCAGGACTTGTTTATCGTATCAAAACATCGGCGGCACAGAACATGAACCATATTCGTAGAACAAGACTATTAGTAGGAAGATCTCTTTAGTGTTGTAAAACCATGAGGCAGAAACAATTTTGAAACAAGAGAATTGGAATGGAGTCTTACGGCTTCTCCCGTAGATGGGAGGTTCGTGTGCTTTGTGTATGAGTGAGAAATGGGTGTGTTGGAGGTGGGTAGGTGACAAAAAAAGAGAAAAGAAAGAAAACAGAAGGGAAACAAATGAAAGAAAAGAAAAACAACAGATAATAAATTAAAAAAATATGACAGAAATGAAAGAGATAGATGGGAAGAAAAAGAAAAAAACAGAAGAGAACAAAGGGGAAAAAGAAAGAAGGAAAGACAAGAAGAAAGAAGGAACTCTAAAAACATAGGGGATATTTCAAGAAAGTAATGAACGAAGACAGAAAGAAAAAAGAAAGAAAAGAAGGAAGAATGAAAGAGACGAACAAAGAAAGGATTACTTGAATAATTGCAGGAAGGAAGAAGACGAAAGGAAAAAATAGGAGGAAATTATGATGGATGGAAGGAAAAATTACTTGAAAAATGGAAGGAGAAGGATAAAAGAATGAAGAGCGGGCTGCTTGAAGAAAAGAAGGAAGGAAGGAAGAAAAGAAGGAAGGAAGGAAGGAAGAAAAGAAGGAACGAAGGAAGAAAGGAAGGAAGGAAGGAAGAAAAGAAGGAAGGAAGGAAGAAAAGAAGGAAAGACGGAAAGAAGGAAGAAAAGAAGGAAGGAAGGAAGAAAAGAAGGAAGGAAGGAAGAAAAGAAGGAAGGAAGGAAGAAAGAAGGAAGGAAGGAAGAAAAAGGAAGGAAGGAAGGAAGAAAAAAGGAAAGAAGGAAAGAAGGAAGAAAGGAAGGAAGGAAGGAAGAAAAGAAGGAAGGAAGGAAGAAGGAAAGAAAAAGAAGGAAGGAAGGAAGGAAGGAAGAAAAGAAGGAAAGACGGAAAGAAGGAAGAAAGGAAGGAAGGAAGAAAGGAAGGAAGGAAGAAAGAAGGATGAGACAAACGAAGAAAGGATTACTTGAAAAATCGCAGGAAGAAAAGAAAAACGAATGAAAAAGAATAGAAGGAAAGGAGGATGGATGGAAGGAAGAATCACTTGAAAGATGGAAGGAAGAATGGGGGGCACCTGAAGAAAAGAAAGGAAGGAAGGAAGAGGAAGGAAGGAAGGAAGGAAGGAAGAAAGAAGGATGAGACAAACGGGGGGATTACTTGAAAAATCGCAGAAGAAAAGAAAAACGGAAAAAGGAAGGAAAGAAAAGGATGGAAAGGAAGGAAAGATGGAAGGAGAGGGGTAAAGAATGGGGGGCTGCCTGAAGAAAAGAAAAGAAGGAAGGAAGGAAGGAAGGAAGAAGGAAAAAGAAGGATGAGACAAACGAAGAAAGGATTACTTGAAAAATCGCAGGAAGAAAAGAAAAACGAATGAAAAAGAATAGAAGGAAAGAAGGATGGATGGAAGGAAGAATCACTTGAAAGATGGAAGGAGAGGGGTAAAGAATGGGGGGCTGCCTGAAGAAAAGAAGGAAGGAAGGAAGGAAGGAAGAAAGAAGGATGAGACAAACGAAAAAAGGATTACTTGAAAAATCGCAGGAAGAAAGAAAAAAGGATAGAAAGAAAGAAGGATGGATGGAAGGAAGAATCACTTGAAGGATGGAAGGAGAGAAGGAGAGAGGCAAAAGAATAAAGGGAGGGAAGGAAGTAAGAGACTAACAAAAAAGGATTGCTTTAAAAATGCAGGAAGAAAGGAAAAGGAAGGCAAAAGGAAAGAATGATGGATGGAAGGAAGAATCCCTTGAAGGATGGAAGGGGAGGAGGAGGGAGATAAAAGAACGAGTGGAGGGCCGTTTGAAGAATAGAAGTAAGGAAGGAATGAAGGAAGCAACAAACGAAGAAAGGGTTACTTGAAAAATTGCAGGAATAAAGGAAAAAAGAATGAAAAAGGATAGAAGGAAAGAAGGAGGGGGATGGAAGGAAGAATCACTTGAAAGATGGAAGGAGAGGAGTAAAAGAATAGGGAGAGGGCTGCCTGAAGAAAAGAAGGAAGGAAGGAAGGAAGGAAGGAAGAGACAAACGAAGAAAGGATTACTTGAAAAATCGCAGGAAGAAGGATAGAAGGATGGATGGAAGGAAGAATCACTTGAAGGATGGAAGGAGACAAGGAGAGAGGCAAAAGAATGAAGGGAGGGGGAGAAGAGACGAACAAAAAAAGGATTACTTGAAAAATGCAGGAAGAAACGAAAAGAAAGAAAATAGGATAGAAGGAAAAAATGATGGCTGGAAGGAAGAATCCCTTGAAGGATGGAAGAGAAGAAGTAGGGAATAAAAGAATCAGTGGAGGGCTTTTTGAAGAAAAGGGGTAAGGAAGGAATGATAGAAAGAGACAAACGAAGAAAGGGTTACTTGAAAAATTGCAGGAATAAAGGTAAGAGAAGGAAAAATGATAGAAAGAAAGAATGATAGAGAGAAGGAAGAATCACTTGAACGGTGGAAGTAGCGGAGTCATAGAATGAAGGCTGCTTGAAGGAAGGAAGGTAGGAAGGAAAGAAAGAAGAGAAGAACGAAGAAGGATTACTTGAAAAATGGCAGGAAGAAGGGAAAAAGAAGTAAAAATGATAGAAGGAAATAAAGATGGAGAGATGGAAGAATCACTTGAAAGGTGGAAGGAGAAGAATAAAAAAATAAAAAAGGAGAACTGCTTGAAGAAAAGAATGAAGGAAAAAGTGAGGAAAGAAGGAAAAGCTATTTTCAAGAACGAAAAAAAGATTTATCTTTTGCTAAAGAAAAAAGAATTTTACGGTTTATCAACCCTTTCTGGAACACTTAAAACTGAAACATTTTTATTGTAATAATCCTTTTTTTAATTTTATTTTGCAATTCAATACGTCATTAACAATTTCTTCGGGGTAACAATTGTTTTTCCAGATACATGCCATACTGTTTAGCCCATAGCTGTGGGAGAAGAGGTAGATTAATACATTTCCCAATGGTATTTCTGCGTAAGTGAATGTAATAAACACGACTGGAATTCGAGCTCGATTCTCCGGTTTCTTATTCCTAGCCGTTATCAATTACACCACCCACACATCCAAAAGGAAAGAAAGTAAAAACAGATATGTGAAAACAATAAAGAACTGTCAGATGAAATAAAGAAATTCAAGATTACGTTAAAGATATATGTTAAAAAATATTTATATAAAATGGAAGGAAGGAAGTAAAGGAGGGGTGGATTGAGTTAGAAAGAAATAAAGGCAGGAAGTAATGGCTACTTGAAGAAATATAAAGATATTAGATATATAACAATTCTTAAGCGTAGAAAAAAAGTAGGAAAGAAAAAACAATTAAATGATTGAGAAAAAAGAAAGACAAATAAAAGCAATTACATGATTGAGAGAGGAAGAAACAAAAAATAATTAAATGATTGAGAAAAAAAACAAAAGACAATATCTGTCTATATCTCTGAGATGATGTATCATGATTAATTGCATAATTCAGACTGTTATCATATTCACAACGTTTCGGCCGTTTTACGCTCCGGCCTTCTTCAGGTGACGGGCATTTCGAACCGAACCCTTTATTTCGTCCACCGGGGTAGATTGTTCTAGTTCCAAGTGCCATGTCTCTTCCGGATGTCTCAGTTATTTCCCTTTAACTCAACATGTATTGGTCTAACACTGCTTTGGCGTGGTATCGAACTCGCAACTCTCAATTCTAACCAACATCTTTATCAATTGGCCTATGTGTTCTTGCAACTATAAGAAAAAAAGTAAAAGGAACAAGTGATTGAGAAAAAGGAACAAAATAAATAAAGGAAAACAATTAAGATTGAGAAAGAAAGAATGAAAGAAAAATAAAGAAAGAAAGAAAATCACTTAAAAGGATCGAGAAAGAAAAAGAAAGGAAGGAAAACAATAAAAATATTGAAAAAGAAAGAAAGAAAAATCAGTTTAAACATTGAGAGAGAAAGAAAGAAAGAAAGAAAGAAAGAAAGCAAGCAAGAAAGAAAGAAAGAAAGAAAGAAAGAAAGGAAAACGAAAACGAGAAAGAAAAAAGAAAGAAAAACTTAAAAGTTGAGAATGAAAGAAAGGAAAACAATTAAGACTGAGAAAAAATGACAGAAAAATAAAGAAACAAAGAAAGAAAATCAAAAAAAATAGGATCAAGAAAGAAAAAGATAGAAAGGAAAACAATTAAAAGATTGAAAAAGAAAGAAAGAAAAAACAATTTAAACATTGAGAAAGAAAGAAAGAAAAAAAGAGAAAAATGATTGGGAAAGAAAAAAAATAAAAAAAAATGAAAAATTGAGAATGAAAGAAAGGAAAACAATTAACTGACAAAGAATGAAAGAAAATAAACAAACAAGGAAAACAATTATATGATCAAGAAAGAAAAAGAAAAAAGAAAAAAAAAGAAAGACGAACAAAAGATTGAGAAAGAAAGAAAAACAGTTAAAAGATTGAGAAAGAAAGAATGAATGAATGAATGAATGAATGAATGAATTTTCTATTAAAAATCTGTCGCGTTGGAAGAGATATAGGATATGAAGAATTTAAAATCTAGAAATAAACAAAAGTGTTCAGAGTAAAAAAAATTATAAAAAAATACTACCATAAAACTGAAGAGAGAGGGAGAGAAAAAAAAAGGAAAAATTAAGTTTCAAGAAAAAACATGAAAGAAACGAAAAAAAAGGCGGTAAAATAGCAAAATATTTCAATATAAACAAGAAAACTTCAGACAT